GGTATCCCATATCAATTTCTAAGTTCTAAGCCTTATATTTAACATTTAAATCTGATCTAATCCACATCAAAAATATGCATAATCTTATCCAGTTAGTGCACAACTGTGGAGAAAGGGCTGAGATAAATATTACATTCTCAGTGTTAGGCCTTGTGTGTGCACGCATTTTCTATTTTGCTTGCTAGGTCTTTTTACTAGGTCTTAATACAAAATTCCCTTTCAAGGTCTGGACACAAAGGTAATCATAAACATCTTTAGGAGTTTTAACAATAAATCTATTTCAGAGGGCCTGCCCAGAACATTTTCAAAGGGCTGCACCCACAAAACTCCTGACTCAAGCTATTAATAAGGAAAACTCCCTACTTTAACTTTAGATAAGCCACATGATTCAGTTAGGATATTGCCTTAATTGATACTTATTTTAAAAAAAAACTTCCTTTTGATAATACACAAAAATACTTTGTTCCAGCTAATTGCATTCCCATCCCTTTTCCCAGGGTGTCAGTATTTAACAATGTCTGTCTTTTACAATAATCTCCTGACATTTCCCCCCCCCTTTTTAATATTAAAATGCAGTATAATCAATGCAACGGAAAGGCAGAAAGAAAAAGCTTCTTCACCCAATCTATACTTCACTTAATAGCCATTAAATATGAGGCACTTCAGTCCTTCAGAAAAAAGTACTTTGTAATATGTGGGAACCTGTACGAAGCATCACTGTTCAAATCATTAAAGCAGCTGGATCTTTTTCATGGCTCAAGCAAGTATTTGGACACTGTTTCTTGGCTGTCTCAATGTGTACTTCACTTTTCTTTTTCCCAATAATGCAAAGTGGCTGTGCATGCAGAGGTCACTGGGGAAGATGTGGTTGTATTCTGAACCTTGACTGTCTTAGATACAAAATAAACATATCCATGTGTTTACTAAAAGAATAAAAGATAATTGTTAAGCATTTGGCATGTAACAACTCATAGTTGGTAGGATGCACTCAAATCACCAAATTGCAAATTGTGTAGAACTGAAACAATCCTTTCCTATTGGTTTATATTTTCCCAATAAAATGTATTTTATCAGCCACCTAGAGAAGGGTAACAGTGTAGTAGGATTTTAAATACATAAGATTTCTTACCACAACCCCATATAATTCTGGACCTTTTGAAGAGGAATGATGATGTTTCTCAAACTGTAAGTGCTTAAGTAACAATATTCTGAGCCATTACTGGTCCTAATATATAGAGGAACACTAGTAGCATTTTAATTAATTAATTAATTAATTTCATTTATTTTATATTGCCACTCATCTCACATGATTAAATACAAATACAGATACTGAATTTGAAAATTTGTAGATCTGAAATAGTTCCAGAAGTCTGTAGTTGTCTTTAATTTTCTGTTCTACTGCAGGGTCTAAAGAGTCACAACTTGATAACTTGTTTAACAATAAAGAAAAAGAATACATTACTTCTACCATCTAACATTTGAAATGACATTGGAGAGAAAAAAGCTGCTAATATAGCTTTCTCTTTGAATTGAAGATATTTGGGTGCCACTGTATTGATTGTCTGAAACCCTCCTGAATGGAGACCAAGGCCTTAACAGAACTATTGGATGAAATAGGAGAAAATCCCCAAGAAAACTCAGAAAAATATCTCAATTCATTCAGTCTCTCAGATCAGATCATCAATCTTGAAGAGGTGAAGATGGCTTTAAAGACAAATTTGATAGTTAATGACTTTAAAATAGTTGTACTGAAAGCCATAGAATCTTGTGTGGCTCTCAACAAGAAAGTTTTATGGGAACCATAAAGGCTTCTAAGATCTCTAATATTGTAGTCTCAACTGGCATCAGGATGGAGAGACACAACAAGCCTATCTTCTTTTAGGCCTCCAGCATTAGGTGCAGAAAACTGGCTGACCATTAAGGTTGATTGATCTAATGGAATCTACAGAACCTATATAGAAGTGGTCCTCACTTAACTACTCATTCAGCGACCATTTGAACATATCATGGCATTGAATGAGTGGTATTTGCAGCCAGACCTTGTACTTACAATGGTTGCAGCATCCCCATGGTCATGTGATCATGATCTGGGCACTCAGCAACCAGCTCACAATTATGATGTCACAACATCCTGCAGTCATGTGATCGGCATTTGCAACATTCACTGCCGGCTTCCAACAAGCAAAGTCAATGGGGAAGCCAGCAGGAGGTCGCAAATGTCGACCATGTGACGTTGCACTTAACAACAGGGCAAGATTTGCTTAATAATGGCAATCAGAAGTACCAGAACTGCCGTCACTAAGCAGCAGCATCATGTGACATCACACTTTATGACATCACCTCATGATGGAAATTCCAGTCCCAATTACTGTCATTAAGTGAGGACTACCTGTAACTGTATTCCATGTGACGTGAAACTTTTTGTCTCTCTCTGTAGTGCCCAAACCCTGGGAATGATAACATCCACTGCACAGTGGAGAACAGATAATTGTTTTAGGGTTTTTTTTATTGATAATAGTAGCAGACATTGTTGTAGGGAGCGGAGCAAAACAAAGTTATTTTTCCCAGTCAAGATTTCTATTATTCTGTTACTAATAGAAGTGGTGAAACAGTGATCTCAGTAAGGATTGTTGGGCAGATATATTATTCCACCTCAACCATCACACTTTCAGTTCCACTGTGTCCCTACCAGACAGCAGTGTCAGACCTCTTTCTCCTGGGTTCTCCTTTCTTCATCCTTTCAGGAAGTGCCTTTGGGAGCCAGGATCACACTAGTCTTTGAGTACACAGAGGAATGTGTACACCTACATGTGTACTTATCTACATATATGCATGTCTGGTCAGTGCTCAAATTATTAGATTTTGCATGCAGACCTTGAAATAAAATTTGAAACTGAAATTCTAATTTCACCTCACTTTCACCTAACTTGGGAGCTATTCACATACATGCTCTATCACATGTGCCTAAAAAGTCTGAAGGCATATAAAGCACAATTCAGATTATTAAGAAGGTAGATTTGACCAGCTAAAACACGAACACCAAGAGAAAATAATGAAGAAATCATCATCCAACCAGAAATAATTATCAAATGTCATTTAAAACCAGTGTTACTGTCCAACAATTTTGTTTAATGCGAATGTGCGAATGCCATATTGGAACAAGTTGTCTGATTAGCTGGCAAAATGACCATCCTCTGAGCTTTCTAAGAAATAATTATTTAGGATTTAGGCACTTGTCAGTCATGTTTCAATTGGAGCATATCCTGACTTGGAGCAACATTTAAGCTAGGCAACCCTTCAACCAGAATTGAGACCTAGAATTCTGATGACTGCGAAGGAAGTTGTGCTATTACAAAAACCAAAAAACATGCTTCATTTTGTTGAATCAGTCAGATATAAAATTTACAATCTGGGCAGTGTCAAAATGAGACTGGAAGATGTACTCCCAAGGGTAGAAGCAAGAAGATGTCCAATTTGCTACAGAAGCAGAGAGCAACAGATAACGGTGGTGCTTATGACAATGGCTGGATTAAAGCAAACAGGACGTCCAGCTGTTGATGTGGCAAGAGGCAAAAGGAACTGCATCTTAGGAGAAAACAACCAAAAATCTCCTAATTCACATTTATCTGTGCACTTTTCTCCAATTAGTACATTTTTTTTCTAATTTCCATTTTGTATATTGTTTTCGTGAATACATTTATTTTTAAATGCTTTTTGGTTCATTTCATTTCCAACTCATTTTGCCACAATAGTTTGTCAGTAATTGCTTTTGTAAGGCTTCTTAAACTCCTGTGTAAATTGACATTTCTGTTCTGACAACATCAGGTTTGCCTTGGTTGATTCCTCCACATAGCCATGGTATCTTGGCAGCATCAAATTTTCCTTTTGTCTTTTGCCACATCAGTAGCTAGACATCCTGTTTGATTTAATCCAGCCATGTCACAAGCACTAGTATTACTTGTTCTTGCTCTCTGCTTTTTCCCAGTAGTTTGCTGGACCCCTTCCAGCCTTAGGAGCTCATCTTCCAATATCATTTTGACACTATTCTGGTTGTAAATGGTCATTTAGTTTTCTTGGCAATGGAGTGGATTGCCATTTCCTTTTCCAGTGGATCCTATTTATTGTGTGCCCTTGTTTATTGACCTGCCTGTTACAAATTCACACTCCCAATGATATAGCTCATAGCATAATTGGCATGTACAAGTCCCAACACCATTAAAAGTTATGACTGATGAAGGGATTTTTCTAACATGCACTTTCCCCTAGTACATGCATTTTATCTTCTCAGTGCAAAACTGAGATTAGAATAAGAACCCAGCAAATATCTTCCTTCTTCCAAATTGTCCAGCCATCTGCCCAATTAAGTCCTTTCTGTATTTGACTTCTTTTTGTGTAAACCTGTGATATATTCTTGAATTTAAAAAAAAAAACATGAGGGAGCGAAAAAACCCATAAAAGGAGTCCTGATAGATCAGGTCTATGGTTCAACTAGTCCAGTTTTGTTTTAGTAACTGGCCAGCTGGATGTTTCTGGAAATCTTTCAACTAGAACATGAAGATAGCAGCTTTCCCCACTTTTAGGTCAAAGCAGACCTCTGTTAGAAATAGGCTTTCCCTTATTCAGTACTACCTCATATTTATTTTGCTGTTAGTGGCCCGGATCCCCAGTCTACATTTAGTGACTACCAGCAGGAGTGGCTGTGATCATTTCTATTGCAACTAAAATTACAAGCAAACTTGTAGCATCTTAAATGCTCTCAAATTATATTTTGATACAATCTCTCCTAGTTTCCACTTCATCAGAGGTATTATCCTCACTTGCGTGTGCTTAAACACACCCATATTTGAACAGTAAAAAGTAAGGTTAGCTAAAAATGAAATCTGAAATGGCGGCAATTCAACTGCAGCTTAAATAAGGCCCAAATAAGCATGGACCCAGAAACACTGATATTATGAAAACGATAAGGAACACACGACTCAAAATGTAAGTGCCATTCAAGGAATGCTCTGGGGAAAAAACAGTATAGTACTTGCTGATACTCAGTTGTTTCTCCTCCTTGCCTAATATGCATGCTGTAGTAAAAGCTTGTACGCAGGACAAGAAGCCTTTGACGGGTTGTATTAATTATGTTTATTAACGATAATAAATCTCATCAGGTGCAGCGTGCAGGCTTACCAAACTCTGCAATCCTGCAGTGACACAAACAAAAACTTCTACCCAGTTCTAGTGTACTGTTTGCAAGGGTACATACTGGCTAGGGATTATGGGAATTGTAATCATCCAGATCGAAAGAGCGTCGGTTGTTGGGAGTCGGTCGGCATAAAAGTTCAAGAAGGAAGGAAGGAAGGAAGATGGTGCCATGGATCGGCTAACTCCGCACAAATGCTGAGAACGGACCAGCCCTTCTCCCGCGGGTCCTTCTCCCTTCCTACGAAAGCCAGTAAGCCGAACACGTCCACGCGTCCTACGGATCTGCCTCATCGCACGACTTCCTAGCTCGGCCCGTGTATCCATTTATGACGTTCTACCTGTCTTTGTATGGGTTTATTTGTAAAGGCGAAGAGGCAGGCACCGAATCGCAAGTTTACATTTTTAAAAATGGGCTTTTCTCACCCTCCCCAGGCCTCCTTGCACAGGCATTTCATTTGTTGTGAACAAAGGTAATGCGGCTTTCTGGGATGGGAAAGCGAGCGAGCGAGCAAGCAAACAAAAAGACTATCCATTGCAGGAATGAAAAGCCCATCTTGCAACGTGTCGTGAGCGCTGTCCTTGCTTTCGCTTGATTTTGCACAAGCCCGGCTTCTCTGCGCTTACGCGAGCAAGGAAGCGTACCAAGGTTTGCTATTTCTTCACGTGGTGCAGAACTGGGGGTGCGGAAGGGTGGGAAAGATAAGAGGACGGGAAATTTCGGCTCGGCCCTTCTTTTGCGGAATGACCTTCCAACTGAATGAGTTGCTGCGGAGCCTCAAAGGGGAAAAGGGGAGCGAAGTAAAGTCATGGAGGCTAGAAATGCTCCAAGGGAGCCTCCGCCTCCGTAACGAACAGGGATCACGCTGTACGCCAAGCGGGAGTGGGGCTCCCCAGGCTCTCCTCGGCAAGAGCCACACGGGGAGGATGCGAGCCTCGCTGCAGCAGGAGAGGGGAAAGACCGTGACGCCAGCTGCTCTCCCCGAGCAGGGCCAGGGCTCCCCCTTCGCCGCGCGACCCCGCGCGCCTCCTCTCCGTCACCAGCGCCGGCAGTCCAGCCCGCCCGCCCGCCACCCTTCTCTCTCCCCCCTTCACCGCTGCCGCTCGTCGGCCGCGCGCGTGCGCGAGCCCCCGGCTTAGTCTTTCTCTCGACCTGCTTCTGTCTCTTTCTCTCGGTTTCGCGGAGCCTCCTCCATCCAGCACTGGCGCCGGGCATGGGCAGCGAGAGCGCGCGCAGGAGCAGCTCGGGCTCCGCCGCTCCCCCCTGCGCCCGCTCTTGCTCCTGCTGCTCTTCTTGCCCCGTTGCCCCCAGGGCGGCGCCTCGGCGGCGCTCCCGCCTTTTCCCACCGAGGACGGGTGAGTGAATGAGTGGCTCCTCCTTCGGAGCACCTGCTTTCTCCGGCGGCGGGGTGGGTCGGCGAGA